TTTGAGGTTGCTGGCGTGGCTGTTCATACCAAACATATCAAGTCATAAAAGTAACTAACGCGCGTTGCTTTAGAACGATGGTAAAAGTGTACTTATTTAGGACTTTCATCATTTCTATTGTAAAATATACCCGGACTAAGAAATTTATTCAATCATTTTTTGTAGAAGAGTCTCCGTAATTTCAGCAAGTAATTAACTGTTAATAATTGTCGCGTGATCACGTATGTGCTTTAAGTGAGTATCAAAGGATCTTAACGCAATCGCGTTGCGAAGTCGTTTAATCGCCGCGACCCGGTCGGTAGAAACTGGTGCACGAAACAGAATGCATACTCCTGGCATAATTTGAGCTTCGGTTGCCGCGGATCGGCGGAATGCTGCGCGAGACTCGCAGACCGAACTCGAAATCCCTGGTGGAACCGTGTAAAGGATCACGGGCCGTCGGACTATATTAGAGAGATATTAACACACGCGAAGTCTGCGAGCGAGCTAGAGAACCAGAGAGCTGAAACGAGCCCGCGAGGGCGGTTCCACATCGACGCATATGCGCAATCGTCCTCGGAATGCCCAGCCCGTGTGCCACGTACCGGCGCAATTTAAGGGAGGAATCGACCGCGCAAGAAGCTAGCCTAATTAACGGATAACGGTCAGTCGGGGCGAAGTTTATCTGTCGGCGAACCGGCAACTCTAAACGCCTCGACGATGCGTTAGCTATATCTCACGAGTTTAACCCTAGAAAGATAACCATATGACAACGTACGTAAAAGATAACCATACGCTTCAGAGGCGCATGCTTTTCTAAGGCGTCAATTTTATACTAACAATGGATATTTATTTAAGTTAATCTAGTCATTTTAAAGGTTTGGCATTATTGTAAAAATAAAATGCATTTATATTATATTTTTTTATATTTTAAGTAATTTTAAACTTAAATCACTAGACCTCTATGAAAAATTAGATGGCAATATGTTTATTTCGCAGGCGCCTCTGCGACGTAGGTTATCTTTCTCGGGTTAATGTGCACCCTTGTTTAGCGTCATCGGATGTTCAGCCGGAATCAAACGGGGCGAAAACGACGGAATCCAAAAGCGAGATGGAGTACCATTTTGCTTTTAAAAATTTTCGATTTTA